CTCAGTTTGAAAAATGTGTTCAAAGACAAAAGCATGAGTAGAAGTTGAGTGAGGATAAGTCTCTGCTGCTCTCTGCTCCAGAACCCTGATGTGCTATCAAAAGGACAGACAGTGTTAAGCAAATAAAAGGTATTTTCAGGAAAAAACCCAACTATTTCCTTCTTCTGACCACGGTGCACCTGCAAGCCTCCAGCCAATGTAGATGGAAGAGTGTGGGTCTCCAGGCTGGGTGGCAGAGCCTGAAGGCTCTGTGATTCCTTCTTGTCCAGCAAGGCTTCACTGCAAGAAATATTTGCATTGTCATTGTGAGTTGTGGTGTTTGATTTCGGTAAGAATGTGACCACGTGCCATGAGAAAACCCCTTCCTGCCTTCCACACAACAAATGGTGTGCTGGTCTTGTTCCCTCTCCATCTCGACACTGGTAGTTGGGTTGTTGAAGTCTTGCTGGAGTTATGGGAAGTCTCCTTTACCTCTTGTGTTAATCTTCTACAACATACTGTGTCTTAACCACAGAAGTGCTGCCTGTGCCTGTAATTGAAGCAGCCACCATCTTCTGGCTCCCGAATGTCCTGCTTCCATGTGCAACATGTCACCACCAGCATCTGCGGTTGTAGATTGCACTGTCCTGCTTTGCAAAGCTTTTCATCCTTTTTGTAGAATCACAGAGTCACAGAATGGCTTGAGTTAGAAGGAACCTTAAAGATCATCTTGTTCCAACCCCCCTGCCATGGACAGGGACACCTTCCACTAGGCCAGGTTGCTCCAAGCCCCATCCAACCTGATCTGGAACACTGCCAGGGATGAGGAAAAAAATTCTTGGCTTGAAGCTTCTTGACCTCAGTTCCAGAACTCTGCCCCATCCCTTTGCACTTTCAGTTCTTCCCATCTCTATTTTACTCACATTTTTATGCCTTTTCCAACGAGTTTTTGCATCTCACTCTGCCCTCCTTCACTATACACCCATCAGTGTCTTTCCCACCTTGAAGCTGTTCTTTGTTTCACAGTGGTGTAGGTGGCTGACCTGTGTTGTCCATGCCTGAGATTTTTTGTCACCTCCTTGGGCAGTGTGTGCATTTGAGGTCATCACAGTGTCACTTCATGCTGGAGACATCCAAGAGGCTGCCAGATGGCAGAGGCAGTGGTGCATGGAGGTCGAGCAACATGAGCTGTATGACCATGTTACCCCATTCTCGAGGCAGGGTTGATTTAATTTGGCCCCACCATCATGCTGACAGTTGCATGGGATTCATTTCTACTTGTCCTTCTGGTGTCACTTGGTACTGTGAGCTGTTGCCTTGGGTGGACCTGATGGACATGGCATTTTTTTCTGCCATGTGGTCTTCATCCACCTTGGGAGATACCTGCTCTGGTTGCTTCCACTTGTGAGAGATTTTTTTCTGAATCAGCAAACTCACAAATGCATAATTTGCTTTTCTGCTGACAGAACCTGCAGAAAACCTCTTGGTCTCCAGCTTCCACTTCCCAAAGCTGTTATCTTGATGTTCTTCAGGAATGCAACACATTTCCATTTGTTTTTTTTAACATCCAGTGTTCTTACAGGAGCTTAGTGCTCCGTGCATGCAATGGACTATCACAAAGTGAGGTTAACAGCCTGGCTTTCCCATGAGTTTCATAGGAAACTTGTTCAGCCTGGAGAAGAGAAGGCTCCAGGGAGACCTTAGTGCAGCTTCCAGTACTTAAAGGGGCTCCAGGAGAGCTGGAGAGGGACTTTGGACAGACAGGACAAAGGGAATGGCTTCCTACTGCCAGAGGGCAAGTTTAGGTGGGATATTGGGAAGAAATTGTTGGCTATGAGGGTGGTGAGGCCCTGACACAGGTTGCCCAGAGAAGCTGTGCCTGCCCCATCCCTGTAAGGGTTCAAGGCCAGTTTGGATGGGACTTGAAGCAACCTGGTCTAGTGGAAGGTGTCCCTGCCCATGGCAGGGGATTGGAACTGGATGATCTTTTATGTCCCTTTCAACCCAAACCATTCCATGATTCTTTCTATTATTCTATGAAACTAAAGGCAGCACCAGCTCTGTTGACAAACAGGTCTGTGAACTCTGCCTAGTTTTGGATCCTGACCCTCCAGTGCTCGGTGAGCAGAGGTGTCCTCTGTCCCACATAGCTGGGATAAGTCTTTAAGCTTGGGTTGAGTAGCTTTTGCTTAAGCCTTATTTCATAAAACTCGACTTGCAGGTTTGAGACTTTTTATCAAGAGGATGGGATTTCTTTCATCTCATTTGAAACTCTCATGATATGCTTAAGTATTTTCTGGGAAAGACAAGGAAAATTGGTGAATGGTTGGACCGTTTGCCTAAAATGGTGCTTTTCATCCTAAGATTTTTGGGAAGGTTGTTTTACCTTTTTTTTTACCTTTTTTTCCCTGCAAGAATTTCAAAGGGATTTGCAAAGTTGTTTCTTTATAACTGAAAGTTTGAATTGTTTCAAAAGTTTAGTGCAAACGTAGGGATGTTATGTAGTGGGTTTGTGTATTGGGAATCTCTCGGGTTTTAATTATACATGGCCAGGTTGCCCTTTCCTGGTGTTTTTCTTTAGGAACAGAAGCCACTCCTGACTCAATTCCTGCAAACTCCATTGCATCTTTCCCTTTTCTGTTTGGGTGCCACATCTTTCTGGTGACAGGGAGGAGGAGAGCACAGCCAGAGCTCTCGAGGCTGAAAACTCTGCCAGACAGGTTGTGTTTGTCTCACTTCTCCCTTAGAGGAGGTGGACTTGGGGCTGCTGGGGTGGTTTGGTAGCAAAACTAACACAGCCGTGTTCATGCCCCTGAATGCCTTTTCTGTTTGCAGTTGTGTGATTTTGAAACAGTATATTAGTGCAGTGAGTGACGGGTCTTGCCTTGGAGAATTTCATACCAAATATTTGGACCTGTGTTGAACAACGGGGAAGTTTAGACGTTGGAAGAGTCCACCACAGTGACATGTGTTGGTGAGCACAACAGCAGATACCCGATTTGCTACTGAAGAGGTTCCAAGTCACCTTTCTTCAAAAGTTTAATGTTTAAATCTGTACTTTGCAGACACAGGTTTAGAGTCATAGAATCACAGAATGGTTTGGGTTGGAAGGGACTTTAAAGATGATCTCGTTCCAACCCCCTGCCATGGACAGGGACACCTTCCACTAAACCAGGTTGCTCCAAGGCCTGTCCAACCTGACCTTGAATATTTGCCCTTGATTTGACATTTGATCTGAAACAGTCCTACTTGCTGTCAGTTGGGAGTTTTCAGGCTGTTTTTTTTTTCCACTTCCATTGATTTTTTGAGACTTCTTCCCACAGTCTTGGTGTTGAACTCTCTACCACCTTTAGCTTGTCCTGCTCTGGCCTTGAACACCTGAGTTGCTTTCTTTTTCCCCACTGTTAACTCCTTACTTCTCACCCTCCAGCTGCCTCCTGCAGCTGCAGATCTCAAAGTGCTTTGCAAAGGAAATAAAAATCATTAGTTCTATTTTGCAGATAACTGCAGATACTTCATCAGAAGCAGCAGAGTGGCTTGTCCCAGGCTACCCAGGATGTCCAGTGTCGATGGCAGGAGGAGGACAAGACACCTGGTCTCACGAACCCTGCTTCTCATTTTTAATGGATTAAAAATTCCTATTCAGACTGTCCTTCTTTGACATCTACTGAAATAGGTTGTCTGAACTGAGCTCATTTCAGGAAGGTGGAAGAAAAACTTACCCAAGGAGAGGAGCCCTTGCTAAAGAGTACTCTGCCAGCAGGGCACTTCTGCTCTTAGGGGCTGTAGGTTTTGTGTCCTTTGGTTGCCTTTTGTGTCAGAGCTATGTCAGGGTAAGTCTCCTGTGGACATCTCCCCTCCCATCAACGCTGGGTAGAACAAGTCACCTGGGGACATTGGCTGTCCTAGAGGATATGGCCACTATTTAGGACCAAATTACACAGGTAGCTTGATTAAAGAAGTTTGGTAGCTTATAAGTTTTGTTTTAAACCTGCTGGAAATGTTAGAAATGAATGGAATTGTGCGTCTCTGGGATGGAACCGGAAAATGCCCAATTTGTGGCAGAGACTGGCTTAGTCTTACAGAGGGATGGTGAATTTCTGGAGAGAAGCTTTGTCCACAGCTATTTCTGGATTTGGATAAGGCTTAATTGAGCTGGTTGTGCCCTATGTGGCATCTTTTCAGGGTGACTTCGCGGAGGGGAGACCTTTCAGACAGGCAGAGTTGGAGCTGCTCCCAGTGGGACTGGGTGGGAAGAGCCACTGTTGCGGAATGGGCCTAATAGGTTTCCTGGGCTGAATTCCATCTTGTGGGCTCCCTGCATGCCGGCTGCAGCCTCAAACTGAGTTGGCCGAACAGCTCTGTGGGGAATGTGTGCCATAATCCCATCTGGGAGTCGCAGAGATGACTGGCTTTTGGGCTCACAGCCATCCCAACTGTGGGTGCTTCACCCACTCCCTCAGACTTACTGGAGCCAACACCCATTTTCCATGCTCCCGACCCTGGTGGACACCTCTCCCTTCTGGCAGCACGGGTGCCACAATCCTCACCAAACCCACTGAACACCTTCCCCCCCTCCCCAGGAAAGCTCTGCTCATGCTGTCCATCATGAATAACTCTAATCCAGTCTTTATTTAGGGCTGCACCCTTGCTGGCATCTCCTCCGGTGGAGAGTATCCCGTTAGCGGCGTGACTCCCGACCCGCCGGGCCATCACTCGTCAGGGACTCTGGGCCAAATTCCACTCTGGAAGTTTTCGTGGCTTTTGCAAGGAGCAAATTCTTTGGTGTTGGGGTGGCTGGCAAACGGGCTGGCTCTTCCTGACCGCAATCCTTTGGCAGAGAAATTATTAGGAAGATATTAACCATATAATGTTTTGGCGGGGTGGCAACCGTCGCTACTGCTACAGTATGTTTTAAAAAAACAAAACAAAAAACAACTTAAAAAAAAAAGAAGGACAATAAAGTAGGCTTTTTTTTTTTTTTGTTGGAAAAGAAGATTTCATGTTATCTGTGTTTGCAGGCTTTCTGGCTCATATGCTGGAGGAATCCTTGCTGCGGGGGTGTTTTCATTTTCTCGTCTAACATGGCAGTGGTCCATCACGGCGGAGGTTTTCAGCTTAAACAATCTGTTTGTGGGGCTGCTGATGGCTCTCACTGCTCATTTTGAGGAGGCATCCACTGCAAAAGAGAGATCAAAGGTAAAACATCTCAAGCAAAGCGAATAGTTCTTTATCTTCTGTTATTTAATTGTCACCTGTCTGTTTAATTTCCTATTTGTTTATTGCTGGTTTAGTTTTGTTTAAGTAAAAAGGCCAAATTTTGGGACCTGGTTCAGCACCTGTGCTGGGAGATGTCCATTCCTGACCTACCTGGATGTTCAAGAATGCCAGACATTGAAAGAAACCTGTACATTTTGTTTAAAGATTGAGATGGGACCTGTTGGATGCATTTGGGGCTGGTTTGTTTAATACCACGGCGTGGAAATATGAGAAGCAAAATCATTTTCATATAAATGTTTTAGTTCTTCCTGCATCAAAGACACAAACTAGGCTGTGGGTGCTCAAGGTTTTGTTTTAAGAACTGATATTTTTCTTTGGGGTAAATAGATGTATTTTACAGAAAACTTCATCTAATCAGAAACCCAAGTTTCTACTCAAAAACAGAAACAACCAAATTTTCAGTCAGTATTTCTTTTGAAATTAAATGTACCCCTAAAATAATGCCATTGTTAAACACAGAGACTTTAAATTTCATGCTTTATTCTCTACTTTCTAAACAGACTAGGCAGCCAAATGATATTTTTGCTCAGCAGTCTTGTTCTTTCTACTTTGGTTTGCCTGAACATCTGATCTCTTTTCCTCCGACAGACTTGCCTGCTGTGACTCCTGTAAATTGTGTGAATAAAAGGATTTTTGTCAGGCTAGGCTAGAATTTCAGGAGCCTGCAGTGGTAGTTTACTCAGCTTCGTGAGTTCTCAAATAACATGTTTTATCAATGGTTACAGAGACCTTGTTTCACCACTGGAATTTTTTATTTTTTTTTTATTTTCTAATGAGCAATGCCCCAAGATCCCCACAACCTGAACTCCACGGACATGGAGTTGGGCATTTTCCAACCTGCTCCCATGTTTCCTGTGCCCAATTTCCAACGTGATTTTCAAATGAGATTTTCAGAAGCAGTTAAGGAACTTGTTTCAGTGGTTTTTTGGGTGTCTGGCATCCCACACCTCAAAGAAGCCAGGCTGCCAACAGCAAGCTCGTGGTGCTTTTCATAAATCAGATGGGCATACAAACATCTCCAGGGGTGTGCTTGGGGTTCATCAGTATACTTATAAAATCACTGAGGTGGTTCAGAGACCTGCCAGGCAGCTCTGAAAAGGTTTTTCTGAAGTTATGGCAGGTGTTTCCGTGACAAGGGAGCATCCAATGCGGAATGCTGAGCAACTGATTTATAATTACAGGGTGATCCCATCACTACACCAAGGCAAGTGTTTGCATCTCACACACCACCCTCACCAGTGGCTGAAATAAGCAGGGGACATTTAAGTTGGATATTAGGAAAAGGTTCTTCATCCAGAGGGTGGTCAGGCACTGGAACAGGCTCCCCAGGGAAGTGTTCACAGCACCAACCCTGACAGAGTTCAAGAAGTATTTGGACAGTGCTCTCAGGCACATTGTGGGATTTTTGAGGATGTCCTGTGCAGGTCCAGGAGTTGGGACTCGATGATCCTAATGGATTCCTTCCAACTCAGGATATTCTGTGGTTCTGTGGAAGTGCTGTCCTCCTTGGGGCTGGCTGGGAAGGTGAGGATGGGTTGTCTGCTCCTGTCCGTGGGACTTTGGTGGCTTTTTGCCCACTGAGGAGCTGCCCTTGGCATGGCTTCAGGATGTAACATGGACCAACTGGGCAGTGATGGTGGAGGAGGAGGCAAATTCAGAGGAGGAGCAGTGGTGTAGGTGGCATTGACCCAAGGATTCTGTATGGAGTTGTCCTTGTAGCCTTCCTAAATGAATATCAAAAATCCCCTGCACTGTGCTCTGTAGTCTGGATGTGTTACCTGTTTTATCATAAAACTCTTTTGAAGATGCTTGAAATTGATCTTTTAGATGAATGAGGGATATCAGCCTTAATTCCCAAAGTTTGTGTAGCCCTGACTTCATCCCTCTGTGCCTGAAGAAGAGTTAAAAATCATTCCTGTTATGAAAAATGAGGTCTCTGTATATAGAGGTATTATTTCAGGGTATGACTTCTGAAAAAAATTGCACCATTTGGAGTTAACTGCACCCTGTGCAACCTCCCCTGTGCATCTGGGGTTTGGGGATTGGATTGGACTCATCGTTAGGATGGGATGATGCTATGTGGGATCTCTGTGTGCATGGACACACAGCAGTTAAACTGGACACTTCTTAAAGAATATTTTCTGTTAAACAAATGAAATCTCTCCGTAAATAGCCAAAAATAACCTGTTATCCATGTTATAATTGACCAGTGCTCGCTGATGTATTTGCCTTTCTCTTCTAAGGGTGCTGTGGGCTGCGCTGAAGCTTTTTTGATCTCTGCGTGTTTTTGCAAACCATAAGCAGTGATTGTGGATGTTTTTTTCTCCCCTCTCAGATCTCTAAGCTTGGTGCCTTTTGCTGTGGGCTCAGTCTGTGCAATCAGCACACCATAGTGCTTTACATCGCTTGTATCGTGCCTTGGGTTCTCGCCCGGCTCTTCAGAAAGTCGGTACGTGTTTTGCTGACCCTGTTTTTCTGAATCAGTGGGTAATTCTTTCCAAGCACTCTTGCCACCTCTGTGTTGATCTACAAACAGGGAGAGTCAATGGTCTGTCTGAACTTGTTGGTCATAAACCACTGAAGTTACAGTTCATCTGTCTGACACCAGAGCCGCTGATCTAAATGGGGCCTGGTTTAAGGGGGGGCCTCCAAAAAGGCTGGAGAGGGACTTTCGACAAGGGCATGGAGTGACAGGACAAGGGGAAATGGCTTTAAACTGAAGGAGGGCAAGTTTAGATTTAGATATTAGGAAGAAATTGTTGGCTGTGAGAGTGGTGGGGCACTGGCGAAGGCTGCCCAGAGAAGCTGTGGCTGCCCCATCCCTGGAGGTGTTCAAGGCCAGGTGGGATGGGGCTTGGAGCAACTTGAGATAGTGGAAGGTGCAGAGGGGTTGGAACTAGATGATCTTTAAGGTCCCTTCCAACCCAAATTATCAATGACTGTGATTCTGTGATCACAATTTAGGAGCTTTACTTGTGCCAGCAGTCCGTGACCCACTTGTGTCTCCTGGCACAGGAACACTCTGCCCCAGCTGTTTCCAAATACCCTGTAAGCTAAAATAATACTGGGAGCTAAAAACTGCTCAGCCTGTAGGAAATAAGAGCAAGTTCAATGACCTACCAAATAGGAGAGCAGATAAATATCTGTTGGGGAGAGTCACAGCCATATGCAGTCTGTGTGTGCTGCTTCTCCTGGCCGGTGACACTGGCTTGCTCCTGCCATGAGCTCACCTGGAGATGAGTTTCTGTATGTTGGCTCCCTGGTGATAACAAACAAAAGCCCTGTCCACTCATGGTAGAGCATCTTCTGACTGCTGTTGATAGTTGATGGTGCAGCCAGAACAAGCAGCATGGCATGAAAGGCATGGAGGTTTGTCTTCCCTTGGGATGTCCCAGGCTTGGTGGCCTCCAGCTCTGATGTGTTCAGGACTTGAGAGTCCTAGAAGAGATCAACTCTCAGGTGAAGAGCTGGAGAGGACCAAAGAAAGGCTGACCTTCATTGCAACAGCAAGCTTTTGATCCCCTCAAATCTATCCCCTTCTCAAGATGTCCCTTATTTTACACCTCTTTTTATTAAATTTGATTGTTGTGTAATAAGCTGAAAACACATTTTTGCATTCCTGGTGTTTGGAGGTGATATGCATCCATTTGGATGAGGCTCCTGGGTGCCATTCAGGGACCCTGCCCTGCTCTTTTCTGCTGTAGCTGGTTTTCTGTGAGTCAGTGCACCAGGCTGGATGCAGATGTGTTGTAGGAACTCTACTTTGCCCGTGAAACAGCGGCACGTCTCAGCCATGCAGGTGCTCTGACCATTTTGGAAGTGGCTCTGGGAAGCCTCCACCTACTTCCTCCTCTCTCTTTTGTCCCTCTGAAGGTGACAGTTGGGCACCCTTAACCAGAAAAATCCTGTGTGGTTCTCAGTAATAGCACAGGGTGAAGCATTTGAGCTGCAAGAGGTGCAGTGCAACTCAGGGTAGCCTGATCCAAAATCTGTTCAGCATCTCCAACAAACCTCTTTCTGGCTACATAATTCCCTTAACACGATGAAGACTCACTTCTGCAATATATTTGTGTTCTTCAAACAGAATTTTTAGTGTTTTTTTTTTAACCAGGGAGGTCCAGAGAGGCCTCTGTGATTTCCAACAAGGACAATACTGTGCCAATATAATAATCCTGGAAAATGCTTTAGACAGCCCAGTAGTGCCTGCTGCAGAAAACCACCTAATAAGAAGGATAATTGATGGAAAAAGTGCCTTTTTTAAGTAAAAATGAGCCATCTTTCTTCTGAAGAATCTGGCCATCACCCTTATCAAGCTCCTTTTTCTGCCTGTAGATCATCCCTCTGAATTGGTGCCTCTTCCCTGTAACCCCAAATGCCGAGGAAGTGCTTTGATTGACAGGGCAGTGGCTAAAAGATAAAGCCAGCGTGCAATATTCTAGGGTGGGATTTTCCAAAGCACTTAAAGGAGTTAGGCACAGAAGTCCCTTTGAAAGTCTTGTCTTCCTGACCCCTTAGGCAGTCTTGAAAATCCCACCCCAAAAGTTGGCCTATCCAATTTAGCCACTGTAATCACGATAAAGTAAATGGCAAAACTGACTCCTGATGATGGTGGTGATGTGTGTAGTTGTACTAGAGCAGCATTTATGTGGGGTTTTTTTTTTGCCAGATGGAATACCAGCCAACTCTTAATCGCTGCAAAGTGGGTTATCTCAGCCTTGCAGTGCTTCAGCCATCTATGCATGTCATGCCATGATTTAAATGTGAAAGATGCAATGAGTATGATACTCATGAGTCCTAGCTAATATTATTTGCTTCACTTAAATTTCACCCTGCCATGCAAAGGAGATCAGTTTGATGCAGTTTCCTAGTAATCCACAAAATCGTAAGGTTTAACATAGCATTTTGTAGGGACTTACTATAAATTGAGAGATCAGCCCTGTGTAAATATATTTGATGTTTTTTCTTTATCTGTTCTTGAAGTTCCAGCGTGATTAAACTAAAATAAACATTGTTATGCAATATGACATATTTTGGTGCAGGAATTGTCCCCAGGCCATTTGCTGAAGTTGGGTTTATGCTTCTTGGCTGGTTTGCTGCCTTATCTCTATCTGCCGGCTTCGTCCTACCTCAGTCGAGCCCGTTGGACATGGGGAGACCAGACGACTCTTCAAGGATTTTTGACCCACTTTCTCAGGGAAGAATATGGGACATTCAATCTGGTAAATAAGGGTCGTTTTCTAAATTACTTTCTTTCTGACTTACGCAACTGTTCTCTGTGACGATTAAGGGCTCGCGGGGAAAGAAATTGAAAATGTTTCATTTTTTAAGGGTTTGTTTCTGATTTCGACCTTCTGACCTCTCAGGTTTTCTGGGAAATGGATCACGTGGCTGGGAAAGCAGAAAGATAATTCTGTTTGCCTTCATGGGGTGAGCCATATTATTTCCTGGGAGCTGTCTGGTGTCTTGTGTATGTAGAGCCCAAAGAGCAAACTGTGCTAGAGGGAGATGGTGACATCAATTTGATGGTTTTCTTGTTTTAAGACAAATATTTTCTTATTTCTCTATTTTTAACTCGGACATTTAAAGAGGTCACAAGCAGCTTTCGTTTCAAAATTGTTCCTCTTAACTTGCTAATACTGAATTTAAATGAATGGTTGGTTTGAGGGGGTTTCAGGAACCTCTGATTTGAGTTACTGAGGTCTGTGCTCTTGCCAAGGAAGGGAAGCATTGCATGGTTGCTTGCAGAGTGTAAGGTTTGCATCTGCCTCCTCCAACCCTGACTAGGATGTTTGGCTGTGGCCACCCAAGGAAAGCACTTGCCCATCGCCCCAGTTTCTGTCCTCCTGCTTCAGAGATTTGGGTGCAGAGGGCTGGGAAGTGACACCACTGGGAAGAAAAAGATAAAAAGGTGTGGTCTACTTGTTATGTCACTCCTTGAAGCCCCACATCCTCAGAAGTTTAAACCCCTGCATGCAGCCAACGTGATGCAGCGAGCACCATCACTGTCCTATTACAGCTGTGTGGCTGTAGGATGTGTGTCAAAAGACACGATAATTCCTGCTGCTGCCACTAAATCTTTCCAAAACTCCTACAGAGATAAGATCCACCCTCTGAAGGACTTCTGAGATTTCCCCTGTTGCCCTATTCCCAGCCGCCTCCCGAGGATAAGACTCCATTGGGCAGAGCAATACCAAGGCATGCAAATCCCCTAACTCCTCTCTCCATCAAATATGATGAATTCAAGTTGATGTTCAGGAGGCTTAGGGATGGACTGCGTGTAATCCTACACCACAAATCACATTTGAACTTGTCTGAAGCAGGAGCAATAAATACAGCAAAATCCAAGCGTTTGGTCCCGGTGCCAGCTGGGCTAATTCCAGAGCACTGCCTGGATGGACAGCCAGCCCTTGCATCCCGTAGCTCTGTTTTAAGGGCAGACAGGGTCTTAAATCACCTCAGAAAATGCTCAGGAGAAGGTTCCACCTGTAAGCCAAGGATCAGAAATGTCATCTCCTTGCGAGGGATGTGTCTGGGACCAGAAGCTGTCAGCCGCCAGCAAAGTGGAGCTTCAAGAGCTGTGAGCTGGCTCTCCATCCTCTAACACTTATTTTTTAATTAAAACCTGAATGCAATTAACTATTCCATTTTTATTGAGATTAAGTATTCCTTCCAGTCCTCCTGAATCTGTTTACCTTATCTTTTTTCTGGTAGCCACCGCTTTTCCAACAAGCAGCTGTGAAGGTTAATTCCTCACCTCCACCGAGCATGTCTTCTTTCCCAGACTTGTGCCATAGATTGCAGGTCCCTGCAATAAAAATTCCCATGTATCTCATATAGATCTCGTACAGCTCTGTCAGGGCAGAGGAGATGGGGGCAAGTCTGCTAAGCAAGGAGGAATTGAGGCCTGCAGCTTCTCTCAGGCTGTGGGGAGATGTCCCAGAAAATAATTGCACTGTGCAGATACAGGACGTGGCCTCAAGTTGTGCCAGGAGAGGTTTAGATTGGATATGAGGAAAAATTTCTTCACAGAAAGGGTGTCAGGCATTGGGACAGGATGCCCAAGGTAGTGGTGGAATCACCATCCCTAGAGGGATTTAAAAGCCGTGTGGATGTAGCAGTTGGGGACATGGGTTAGTGGTGGACCTGGCAGTGCTGGGTTAATGGTTGATGATCTCAGAGGACTTTTCTAACTTAAATGATTCTATGATTCTATGATATAGCAGAGATCAGGCTCAAATCACCAGGGTAATCTGTTGTCAGCACTTTGAAAAAATGCTTATCCAGGAAGTAAACCCGTCACATAAAACAGGAATGTGGGAGAATATCTTGCAATGAAGGTTTGAGTAGAGCTTGCTGCCTTTTTGCAAAGAGAAAATTGAAAGACTTTCCTTGTCCCAGTGATAGTCAGTCAGTGTGTAGGTTTCTCATGTGCTTCTTTCTTTTCAATACAGGCCAAGTCCGAGACAGGATCCAGTATGAGAGAGATGCTGCTGTGAGTAACATCTTGATATGCCTTTTAGTGGAGAGGAACCTGTTGCTGCTGCTGGTATTTTGGCCAAAGTGGCTCCTGTCCTTTTCCTAGTCTTGATCCAGAGCTAGACCTGGTGTGTGTCACAGGGACAGCATGCATGCCTGTTTGTTTTCCCATTGAAATGCTGGATCCCCCTCCCCAGTGATTTTTCCTTCAAAATCCTGCCACGTAAACCAGCCTTGTTCCCTGGTTTCTGGTAAACTTAATCACAGAAGACTGGGAATATGTTATGTTGTGCTTATTCCCAGTTTCTCCTGACACTTTACCTGAGTGCAAGGGGTGATTAGGGGGTGGCACATCCATGCACTAATTTCTCCACAGTTTCCAGCTGGCGCAGATGAAGTCGGAGCTCTCCCTTCCCGTCCTTGCCCTGGCACTTGTGGCCTGTGTGAGCACAGCACTGCTGTAAGTAGGAGGAGAATATTTGCTTTGATATTCACTTTCTCACTGGCTTCGTGGGCAGCTTGTTTTACCTTCTCCTTGCTGGGGCAAAAATTGCAGCAGTTGGCTGTGGTCATCTGTTTGTGAGAGCAAAATATCCCTACACTCCTGGTTAACCCTGTGGCTTTGTGGGTGGCAAGCTTAAATATCCTGAAATCTTCGTTGTTTTTGTGCTTTGAAAACAGAAGTTTTATAAATGGCAAAGGTAAAGAAAGGCTCATCAGCTCCTTGTATTAAATGCATTTAGGTGTGCAAAGAGTTGGTGGTTTTCAAGCACATGTAGCTTCTGTTTTGTTTTTCATCGTGCCTCAGGAGTGATACATTACTTTTTTTATAGGACAAGGCAGCAGAAATCAGCTGTGATCTGGCTCTTCACTGGAATGCTTTGTCTTTATTCCCTTTTCTTCGCTTGGAGAGCAAACTTGGATGTTACAAAGCCTCTGTTTCTAGGCGTGGTGAGTTGCACTCTAAAAACTGGTCTGGCATGTTAATTTTTGGCAGAAACATTAAAAACCTTAAAACCACCTAACCAGGGGGCAGATAGTTGTTTTGAAGCTGCATAAGGTACAAAAATATATCTACTTATTCTGTTTCTGGGGACACAGAAATAGGGCCTGTGAGAAGCTGTGGCTGCCCCATCCCTGGAAATGTCCAAGGCCAGGTTGGATGGGGCTTGGAGCAACCTGGGCTAGTGGAAGGTGTCCCTGCCCATGACAGGGGGGTGGAATGAGATGAACTTTAAGGTGCCTTCCAATCCCAATTCTGGGATTCTGTGGTGTTGTGTCCCAGGTGGAGAGGTTCTGGCTGCAGAGCAGTGCTGTGGTGGCTGTGCTGGCAGGGCTGGGCTTGGCAACCCTCACCTCCCTCAGGAACACTGTGCTGGAGGGCAGCCGGGTGCTGCCCTGGCTGGAGTGGCTCTCTGCCCTTGCTCTTGTTGCTTCTCAAGTTTGGACAAATTACAGGTAAGAAGTCCCCTGGGCACGTGTCTTGGTGCAGCCCCGCAGGGCTGTGGGGTGCTGTGCAGTTGGGGTGCTCCTGTGAACCCCCCACTCCTGCTCCTGGGGTTTCTATCCGTGTCAGGAAGTGGAAAAGGCACTTCTTACATCCCACCTAAGATTGCATGGTCACAACCTGCAGGACTCCCTTGTTTGTTCTCCCTCAGGGTCACCAAGCACCAACTCCAGGCTGTAAATAAGGGTGTCATGTAGGTTGAAGGAAGAAAACTCTGTAGATACTTAAACTTCTAAAAAAACCTGCTTGTAAATCTGTGCTTTATTTCCTAAGCAGGTTGGCAGAATTCATTTGACCTGAACTTCTCTTGCTTTCCTTCAGGTTTCCTTGTGCCCTGTGTTTTTTTCTATTTTTTTTTTCCCTTTTGAAGTGTGGGGCTTCCTTATCCCACAAGCACCTGCAGTCACTTGGATAGGAATCAGTGTCCTAGTAGGGGTGCTCAGGTGGAGGTTGACCAATGAAGCATAGACTTCATCCTCAGGAATTCTTCCTTTGCACACATCTTTTCCAAAGGCTTGTCCGTAGGTGGGCCAGTCATAGCTCATGTCCTGAGCCAAGTCATGGAGTGTCCTCTTCTTGAGTCCACTGTGTGCACACACAGATGTGTAACAAAAAGGATATAATCTCAGGTGATGTAAATCTGCTTCTGCCTGATGCTACAAAAACTTGGCTTTTCAATGCTTAATTAAAAGCACTTTTAATGCTTAATTAAAACATTATAGGATGAGGAAGATTTCAGGTACTTTACAGAACCATCGTTGTACTGGCACTTCCAGCACCAACAAGTAAGACTTTTGGTTTAGCCCAATAAAAAGAATCAGACTTAAGGTGAAGGTGTGCAGTGAGTGTGTATTTTGGCTAAACTGTAGTGGCTCATGTCTGTGGTTCTGGTTTCTGGGGGACTGTTGTCTAAATGTTTCATTTCTATATCTCAGTTTCTCTGGAAATGGAGATGATTGAGTTGGAATGATTAAGTTGTTGATGATGCTCCATCCCTGGAAGTGTTCAAGGCCAGGCTGGGCAGGGCTTAGAGTGACCTGGTCTGGTGGAAGGTGTCCCTGCCCATGGCAGGGGTGGTGGAACAAGATGAGCTTTGAGGTCCCTTCCCTCCCTTCCCATTCTGTGATTCTGTGATGCTTCCAACAAGATCTGACTAGGGTGGATTTCTGTGGTTGCCTCTTGCATAAAATTGTTCTGAAGATGTGCAAAGCCATGCAAATACCTGGTTTCGAGATACTGTTTTTTATCTGTTCTCTTTAGTGCTTGTGATCAGAGCAACAACTATGTTGTTGACAAGTTTGCAAGGAATCTGCTGTCCTCTATGCCCATGGGTGCAGTGATCCTGCTGAGAGGAGACTTACCTGGGAATGCTCTTCGTTACCTTCATTACTGCGAAGGGATGAGGCCAGATATCACCTTAGTGGACCAGGAGGTAGGTTCAGAAAGTGCTGCTTAAAGAGTCATCAGGCAGATTGAAACAGGAAGCAAAAGTTCGATTGTTCCTTTGTCTCCTTGAGAGGGTCTCATTGTTCAGATAAAACTCATGATGTGGAAATAAATAAAACTGATATTTTTTTAAAGGGTTGTGGGTAGCCCTAGGATGGAGCATGGTGTGCAAGGCCCATTCAAGCCCAAAAAGCCCCCACTGAGGCAATAGTGGCTAGAGAGATGGGAAAGCCAAATTCCTTCATCACTGCAGATATCCAGATGTGCCACAGGGCTGGTGTTTGCCTTGCTGAGGAAGTTTGTCCCAGCTGTTTTCTGCAATTGCCGCAAAATGCAGATGTTGGGGCAGAAGAAGACTTCTGGGATCAGCCTGGAGGGCAGCAGGGCAGCAGTTACCCCATGGATGATGCAGCTTTTGGGTTTCTCCTGAGGGCTTTACCATGCATCCCCTGCATCCCCTCTGTTACCTTGGTGCTTTTGCAGACTTCTGTCCCCGTTTTTTACACTAAGATTGAGGTGCTGTGTGTCCCTGGGTGATGTTTGCACTCTTTCCTTTTTCACTGAGCAATGGAAAAATAAAAAAAAAACAAAAACCTCTTACAGAACAGAACACCTACATTTCTGCCACCGCGTCATGCTCGCGCTTGGCTTTGCAACAGGAGTTTGTGACTTGCTGGCAAACCCCAAACCCAAAACCTCGTGTTTAACCAAACCAAATCCCTGTTGTGTCTCTTACCAGCTGTTTTGTGTTAGAGTGAGGACCACGTGCCTCTGATCAGAAACCAAACTGGTGACCCAGTGTGGTGGTGTGGTCACAACCACTGCTGGCAAACAGTCATTACTCCCTCAAAACCCATTTCTTCTGGATGTAAAAGGGATGAAAACTTTGAATTCTTGTTTTAAGTATGGCAATATTTTTTTATTGACAGATGATGACTTATGAATGGTATTTACCCAAGCTGGCAAAGCATTTACCTGGTGTTTATTTTCCTGGGCACCGGTGGAATCCTGTGGAAGGAGTATTACCCGACGGGACACTTGCTTTTAATCTCCATCGTTTCCTCAAAGTAAATAAACAGTAAGCATTTCTTTCATATGTAACAGCTTTCCTAAAATCTTCGACCTTTTTTTTTTCCCCCCCTACAAATTGTTTATGGAACAGCTTGGTACTGCATCCAAAAGACCAATTTTCTCCACTGACTTCTTCCCTGGTGGCGAGATTATTCTTGCAATTAAAGCAAATATCTGTGCAGGAGTAACTCCATCCGGATATAATGTTGCCTGTTGTTTTGAGCCTGGTTTGGTTTTTAGGAGGGAAAAATAAGAAGGTGATGATCAGAGTGTTTACTGATCATTTCTTTTGTTGTTGTTGATACAATTCATCACAGAAAAAGGAACAGTTCCCCTGCACTCAAAACGACGATGGCTGGAGAGCAAATTGCTGCTGCTTCTCCTTTGTGAACATTGTGGCCAACTGATTAGCATAGAATGAATGTATTCCAGGAATAATCATCATATAAAAATAGCTTGGTAAGAGTGGAGAAAGGATTAGATACTCACATGAATAAGAATAGCATCTGCATTTAGAGTAGCCGGGGTGAGCCTGGCGAGGGTGGGGAGGCAGAAGAGCAGAGCCAGGTGCTGTCAGGAAGAAATGGGCTTCTCCTACGGCTTCTGGCATGTTCGTGAGGTCCAGGAGAGGGGAGAGGATGTGCCACCTGTGCTGGCTGCACAAGATGGGCAATGCCAGATGGGGTATTCGCTTGCAGCAGAAGAGCTGTTTTGCAAACTGGTCCAAAATGTGCACTTTCTGATGTGAGATGGTCTGGACAGGTGTCGGTGCCACAGGAAGAGTTGTGCTGCACAACTTAGATCCACATGTAAAAGCCAACCCTCAATCTCCAGTATGACCCTGCTTCAGTAAAAAACACAAAAGAGAATTTGTTTAACAGTGTCTTTTCTTCTTCCTACCACACCTCAACCAAAAATTTAACCTCAAGATTTGATTTCATGCACAAAATTATATCACTAACAGAGATCATGGGAAGCAAACTCACCCTGTGACATCTTTCAAAAGCTTTTTTGTTTCTTACAAGAGGTTAACCACCACTTCTTGTGACAGGAAAGTTTCCCCATGTGTGTCAAGGGTAGGTTTGTACATTGCCTTAGTCTCTCTTTGAGGTCTTGACTACTGGAACAGAAACATTCCCAAAGAGGATTTCACTGGATGGAAATTTTTCATACTCAAATTCAACAACAATTTCGGATATTTTAGTTGTTAACTTAAGAAACACTGTGTGTGTGGTTTGCTCAGGGACATGGGGTGGCCCAAGGTCTGGCACAGCTTCACAATTGCTCTCTCTTGGGTTTTTTTGGCAGTAAGGAGGTGTTTGTCTGCATAGGTCTTCATGAAGGTGACTCGACCTGGAGAAGGAGCCATTCACTCTGGCCCTGGGGGACGTGTGAGAAGTTGGTTCCTTCCAGTGTTGTGTTTGACCCAGGAGAGTGGATTCGTCTCACCAGGAATCTCTATAACTGGACTGAAGACTATGGCAGGTACGAGACAGAGATCTTGCTCCTTCCTCTCATCATTCTTCTGCCAGCAGCACTGTCACATCCTCTGCAGCGTTGCAGGAATTAACATGAGCCAGGATCATGATGGTTTGTGTTTTAGTAGATATAAGGAAGAAATTCTTCCCTGTGAGGGTGGTGAGGCCCTGGCACAGGTTGCCCAGAGAAGCTGTGGCTGCCTCATTCCTGGAAGTGGCCAAGGCCAGGGGCTTGGATGGGGCTTGGAGCAACCTGGGATAGTGGAAGGTGTCCCTGCCCATGGCAGGGGGTTGGAACTGGATGATCTTTAAGGTCCCTCCCAACCCAAACCATTCTATGATCTATGACTTTTATTAGTGTGAAATATAGCGAGGACATTTCTAGTCAAGTATCAGCTTCAGTTCTGGCCTTAAAACTTGAACAGGAGCTAAAATCATTGACTTGAGACATCCAAAGGTTTAAATGTCATAGACTGATCTGCCATGGTAAAAAAAAAAAATCACTTCGAGAACTGGGATGCTGTGAAGCACCTGATATGCCAGAGGCTCCTTTTGTGGAGAGAGTGGAATAAGGTTTATGAATGACAGAGGGTCAACTGAACTCCCTGCTGTCAGAGCCATAGGCTTCATGATGGGTTTTCTTCTGCTTGGGAGGTCTGTAGCTGCCTGGGTTAGAAGGGCTGTGGTGGGTGAAGCAAAGTGACATGGATCTGACGGCTGAATTTTATTCTCATTCCCATTTAGTTTCAGTCCCTCTTCCTGGGAAGCTGTTGCCAACGAGGAGATGTGGCAAGCCAGGTAATTCTCCATTGCTCCCTTCCAACAGCCAGTGGGCAATGCCAGCTCACTGGTGTGGAAACACACACCAAAGCGGGCAGCTTGATGGGGCATGGCCTTATTGGATCCACGTGTGCCAAGCTTTGGAAGGAAAAGGCTGGCAGGATGAGGTGAAGCGTGCAAGGACTCCAGCAAAGCCTTCAGGAGAGTGCTCAATTTGTTCCCCTGAAGGTTCTGCTCAAAGTGTTTCAAAGGAGCAGAAAGCAGTTGGGGCTTGGGGTGAGAAAATACATCATGGATAGAAATTTGTGTCACTGATGACTCAAATGGAGGTGCTGGTTCTGTCCCATACGTGGATAGCTGTGCTGAAAATGTGTATAACCACGTGATGTGAGCTGGTTGCATTAAGCAGTTACTACATGGAAGTTTTTCTTGTTTTCCCAGGATGAAAACAGCTTTCTTTATATTCGACCTTGCGGAGAGTGCCAGTGTGACTGCAGAAATGAAATCACAACTTTACACATTTGCATACAACGTAAGTCATCTGTTTGGGTTAGGAACGCTCCCTGCAGCCTCCATCATTTATTTTTTTCCCTTTTCTTTTTCGTTTCTTGACTCCACAGAAACGTGTTTCCATACAGGCCCTGTAATCTGCATTCCCCTTGTTTATCCAAACTGGGAGCACAGCCGATTCAAAGAGATTTGCTCGGGGATTTTATCCATTCCTACTTGCCCCCTCGGTCACAGAGGATGCCAAAAGCTAACCAGTCAACACCCTGCTTTTGCTATAATTATGTTGTCTGTGCTGGGCTCCAAACCCATGCCAAGAGATTGCTTGTCCTGAAGTTCCCCCTATGCACTTGTCCCCTCTGTCATTACACAGTCGTGCGTCTGAGCCAGCAAGTATAAAATCCGACAGTCTTCTCAGTGCAAATTAATTCTGCTGCATTTCACACCAAAGAATAACACCCATAAGCTGGTGTAGGTATCTCTGGAAATACTGGACTGCCTGAGATGCCAACAGATGCACGAAGTGATCAGTGTGTGTCAGCAGAGAGGAGCAGCATTTCACACCCCAGCAGAGAGTCAACAAATAGTTTCCTTAATTCTTACCCGTTTTGCTGTGATTTTTTTGCTGTTCTGCAAAGTTCTCAGGCACGTGCCTGCTGTTAAGATTATGAATATTCCCTCTCAAGTCAACAGACTCCTTAAGTCCTGTGGAAGACATCCTGATCTCCTGAAATATTGGATAAATGTCTTCCAGGCGCGGCGGTTAAACCTCTTTTTTTTCCCCAGCTTGGTGTAACACCTCTCTGGGGGAAGCACATAATGTGCCGTGGGGTTATCACCATCATCTGTAATGTTTCTAAACAAACAGCTGCTGTCGGAAGGGAAACGTTTCAGCCCCCCTTGGGTTTCTGATTCATGCTGTTGAAAGGCAAACACAGAGTGAATTACAGAAATACTCCGACTCTGGACTTGGACGATTCTAAATAGCATCTGTTCCTTCACGGGCAGTTTTGAAACACTGTTAAGAGCTGTTGGTCCCCTTAGTTCAATTAATTTGCCTCCCCCCCTTCTTTTTTTTTTTTTTTTTTTTTTTTTTTTTTTGTTCCTGTAACAGTCATACAAAGAAATTGTCAACTCTCATCCCAATCACCCGGTGAACTGGCACAAAAACTACGCCATCGCCTGCGAGAGGATGTTGCGTCTCCGTCGGGGGGACGTGGATCCCGAAACGTTGCTCTCTGAAACTGTGAAACATTTCCTGCTGTACACCGAGAAAGCAGAGGATGATCCCCAGCGCCAGGACATCCTGCAGGCTGTGAAGCACCTGGAGAAAGAGCTGCAGGGGCTGAGGAAAAGGAAAGCAGACCTGAGGCGGGGAGCTGGGTAGCGCCCGGTCCCCCACCCGCCTGCTGGAGGGCTGGAAGTTTGAAGTCAAGGCTTAACATCTGAGTTAGTCCTTGACAACGTGAGAATGGTTTTAAAAGGTGACAGAACTGGCAGCAGAGAGGAAATCAAGTGTGCAGGAACATGCTGATGTTTGGTCTTTGATTGCTGTTGCCAAATGAACTTTGGGGGTTCAGGGAGGGAGATTCATCACTAAAAAAAAATACTGGGTTTCAAAAAAGAAAATTTTTCTTCTTAAAGGAACCTGTGATTCTGTTGTACTATGAACATTTATCTTTTTTTTAATATGTGCAGCATCCTTTATAGATGTAAAAATGTATTTAGCATTTAATTGTTTCCTCTGTTACTGAGCCAAGAGGTTTTCTACAGCCATTTTTCATTTGCTGTTCTGTGTCTATGTGTTTTTATGGTCACGAGACAGCGTGGTTAGGTGGGTTTCCCTCAGGACAAGGATATGGGATGGTGCCCTCACAGGAGCCTATTTTGAATGTGCTCTGTGCCCTGTCTGTGTCTGTGCTCATGGGCGCTTCAGAATCATAATCAAAGAATCAGAGAATATTTTGGGTTGGAAGGGAACTTAAATACTATTTTGTTCCACCCCCCTGCCATGGCCAGGGATGCCTTCCACTATGCAAGGTTGCTCCAAGCCCTGTCCAACCTGGCCTGGAACACTTCTAGGGATGGGGCAACCACAGCTTCTCTGGGCAACCTGTGCCAGGGCCTCACCACCCTCACAGCCAAGAATTTCTTCCCAATATCCCACCTAACCCTGCCCTCTGTCAGTTTGACGCCAAACCCCCTTGTCCTGTCACTCCATGCCTGTGTAAACAGTCCCTCTCCAGCTCTCTTGGAGCCCCTTTAGGTACTGGTACCCCCTTTTAGGTACCCCTTGCTTTGCAGGGATGTTTTTTTCATTACATCACGTTTTTTGGGATAGACCTTATTGCTCTAGTTTTCCAACAGCGAGCAAGCAACTTGTGTACTTTCTCTTGCAGAGCACTGTGACTCTGCAGGCAGCAGTTTGGCACCTCCTGCACTGCCTCCACCTGGGGTGGAGGGTCTGTGGTCCTGAGGCCTCACAAGGGAACACAAGAGCAGCTCCCATGGGACACTGCTCTCCCTGTGGTTCATGGCATCTGTCCTGTGGCCTCTATTTCTGTGTGAGCCCATAATGCTCATCTACTCTGCCACATCCTCATGGGTACTGGGGATTCCAGAGCTGCAGTTTTAGAGATATCAGGGGCTTTAACCAAAAGAACAGGTGCGAATCCATCCTGCTTATCAGTCTACCCCAAAAACCAAGCGGCTTGGTTAACAAGAGTTCAGCTACTTGTTTAAAAAAAAAAAATATATAAAATAGCATGTTTTTCAAAATGTTTTCAGTTAATCTGTATTTCAAATGCTTAAGGCAGACCCAAAAGTCTGGTGGTGTCACTGAGAAATTCATCTGAATTGTCATGCTTTGTTCTGTGGTTCTGAGAGGTCTCAGCCCAGTGTTTTGCAGGAGAGAAATTGCTGCCAGGCCAGGTTTCATTTGGACTAGTAAAATTTTCAGAGGAGAAAGAAGTAAGTCTGTAAAGTTCATGTTATCAGATGGCACCTCTGGAAGCTTCCCTGAGGCTTGGAGGAGCAGACTGGGATGTGGGCAGGAGTGAGGGGTGTTGCAGGTGGATGCTCTGTTGGTCTGTAGTTTTGAGGTGTGTGTAGGGACATGTGGCCCCTCTTCCTAACAGATCTTTTTAAAAGTGGACTACTTCTCTTTTTCTCTCCAAGTGCTGATTTTCCCAACTCTTCATTGGATGCTTCCTGTGTAAAAATCAAGCTGATATCTAAGAATCTCTTAACTCCAGTTGCACAACAACGTCCTTTATTTTTCACCCTCTCAGTCTGATTTATTTTTTGTAGTGTGACTTCCATAGCTATTCCCCCTGTCACTACTATAAACCATTCCTGTACAAACAGCAGATGAGAAATGAGCAGTGAAAAGGAGGAAAACTGCAGCTGCTGGGTTGCAAAGCCACAAAGCAGAGGGGTGAGAAAGAAGAGGAGCAGTTCAGGGGTGTCATTTTAACTCTTTGTGTTGTAATTTACTACATTTCAGGTCGGCCGTGCCTCACTTAAATCTCTTCCTTCTTCTCAATCCCTGCAGAAGTGTTTGTACAGAGCAGGGGAATATCATACATTCCTCTGTGCAGCTTTCTCAGGGCTGGCTTTCTTCTCCCTTCTCCAAACCAGTCCTTCAGCCTGGCAGAAAAGCATTAGGAATCCAATTTTTGAATGCTTTTGTTACCTGCATTATTGAAAATCCATTCAAGCAAATATACTGAGCCGAGGGTTTTCTTTATCTTGATTAGATGCCCCTCCTTAGCCGCACAGTCTTGAAATAATTGGAAGCTTTTGTGGATTCCACTATCTGCTCTGGAGAAAAGAGGGGCTGTATCCCAGCCTGCAGCCTGCACTGACTAGTGTATCATCCTATACTGCAATAAACAGGGGTGGAAACTACAACAAGAACTTTCCCAGTGGCAAAAGCCTTCCCAGGTGTGAAGAGCAGTGGAAAGGGGATGCCTTTTTAGGGAGCAAAGCACAACCGTGGTGTTGACCTGTGCTGTGTCCCTGTGAATCCTGTGCACACGTGATGGAGGTGTCTGTGCTGGGTGTTCAGCTCAGAGACATCCCACAAAGGGGAAAATGTTTAACAGTGATGGAACTTCCGAAATTCCTCCCCCCTGAACCTGTTCAAATGAGATTTGCTGGTGCTTGCAGACGAAGCCGTTGCGTGGATGTTGCTGAGCCTGTTGGCTAAAAGGCAGAGGGATGCTGGCAGAGTTTAATTTTTATCAGCTCCTCTTAGGTGGCACCCTGAAGTTTATCAAACAAGCAAAGCTGATTTGCTCTTCGTTAGTCTCAGTTGCATGAATCGGTTGCCAAGTAAACAGGATTTTGCATTTTCCTAATTACTTTCATATTTGTGTTTTACCTCTATTTGTTCTCTTGCAAAACCGGTCCTAATAATTAGTCAGTCTCCTGCTGCCTAGACCTTAAAAAAAAAAATAAAAAATAAAGGGGTGGGGGGAGAGGGGAAAAAAAAGACTTCTGAAGGGTTTTTTCTCCCTTATAAATTCATTTTTGTTACAAGCATCTTTTATACATATTACTAAAGGGAGCGCACTAAGAAATGCAAATAATAGTTCTTTATTTTATTATGACAGTTAATTAATAGCAACCTGTTTTAATGAATAAAGTCACTCAGAGTCCTTCAGCACTTCCTAAGTAGAGGCCAGAATCTGTAGGGATTCTTTTTTCCCCCCCATTGTATAGCTCCAAGACTCCGAACACTATATAGGGCCTGTATAGAAATGCTCGCTAATGAAGAGGGAGGGCGAGGAACTTGTCTGCATTCAAAGATCACTGGTGAGTCATTCAGCGAGAAAAGGCCCCTTGCTAGGAATAGTCACAGTTCCGCGGCATTGTGCTGGCAAAAGGGTTTGATCAAAGGTCTCCTGCCGAGCTTGCATGGTTTCCTTTCATACGACGACCATAATTAAAACCACTAATTCTCTTTTAAAATGCTGCAGGATGCCATGTAGGCATCTGTCTGGAGTGTCCTTTGTGCTGTCGGGAGCTGTTAAGGACCAGCGCCGAGGGCTTTTCAGCGACATGCCAGTCAGGAAGGTGATTCGACATAAGGGTGCCTCTGAAGGCTTGACAGGGCCTTGACTACACAATTCCAGCTGAATTTGCCCCTTGTCAGCTGCCAGTAAATAAATCTCAAAGAAGAAGAAGAAGGAGGGAGGGTGGGGGGGTGCAAAGCTGAAGTTTCATTACCTGATCCCCGGGGCTTTGTTGGTTTTGGCATCGCCCAGGGGGAAGCCCTCGCCCCTCGGGGCCGGGGAGCTGGGGATGGCCATTGGAGACCCCGGCGCCCGGGCCGTTTGAAGACCGTCAATACTTGTAACAGTTCAGCTGTTAGGGAGACAAATAAATGGAAGAGCCCATTAATCCCCTTTGGGTACTCGGTGCCTTTTGCCCTTTTATCGCAGCCTTATTAGGTTCCTACTCATCTTGAACCAGGAGGGATGAATTGAAGTTGTTGAGCGCTAATTGGCAAAGACTTTTCATCGCGGGCCAAGAACTTTCGCTGACTTGAAAGTAACTTCGCCACGGGGAGGATCAGCAAATTTTCGCCTCGCCGTTTAAAACAAAACCCCCAAACCTCGTTGGGATACAATGTGGTGTTTAAAAAAAAAATTAGAAAAAACAAACAAAAAAAAAAACCAAAAAAAAAGAAAAGAGGAAACTGCTGAATTATTGGGCTTGTCCTTCATGAGGATGTTGGCAACTTGTATTTGCACTTTAAAAGAGAGTCACAGAGCCAAGCATGGCACAGGATGATCCACCCCCAAACGCAGTTGAAATCCACGTGTCTTATGTGTGTGTTAACTGAGACCTGCTCATGGAACAGGCTTCCCAAAAGGAGTCTGGGAGATGGTCTGGGAGGGGTCACCATCGTTCTTGACTGTTTGCAACTGCTCAAGGGTCAAGTAGAGCAATGCTGATGTTTCCGTGTGCCAGGCACAATTCTGTCTGCCTTAGAGTCCTTCCTGGTTTTGGTGATGGGATTTATGGATGAGAAGTGTTTCAGTGTGGAGGCACTTGGATGATCTCATGTGAATTGTTTTTTGGTAAATGCTGCATTAATTTGAAGGTCCTTGTTGCCCTCTCTCCCCATGTCCTCCATTGTGTATTTTAAATAAAGAATAAAACTTTTACCAGGTCATGAAAGCATCTTATACTTGATAAGTGACAATGCCACGGGCCACCTCCACCTGGAAGACATCGAGTTGGGGATTTTAGAGCACAAAATCCCATTGATGTGCTCCCCAACCTCTGCATTCGGGGCACTCATGAAACAAGGTGCCCACATTAAGGACAACATCTGCCACTGGGATGCCAATCTATGTACCCTGGCAAAGCCCACCC